GAAAGACCACCGCGAAGGTTGCAACACGGAGAAGAGTTTGCAGCATTTGGAAATCATGCTTGACGCTGCAGAGGAAAATGCTAACTTAAAACTAACACGCGCGGAAGTAACTGCGTTTGTCTGCTGAAGCTCAGGCGCAATGGACATCATCGAAACCGACGTTCGAACTGGTCGAATATTGCTGTTTATTCTCGGCAGGTTTTATCGCCAATGGCAAAACTACTCGAACTGGCCAATTCCGTCCCCGTTGTCATTTTCAGATACCGTTATCTCCGTCCCAGCTGTGCAATACCGAAGACTTGACCTGCGTGGGCTGTAATTAAGGGTTATACAGCGTCACATCGGAGTGGTATAAATTAATTTTTTCTTCTCGGCCGACGGTGTGGGTATGACGGGCTGACAACGACGATAAATAAGACGGAAATGGTCGGCCCGCTTCCTCTTATCCTTGTCGGCAAACCTGCTTGTTTAATGCTTTTTAAACCGAGACTGCCGTGTTCCTTCCACGAGCACTCCCTCTATGTCTTGCATTTTGCGCGTGACTGCAGGCAATTGCTTCTACGCTCGTGTGTCACTGATTGCACTGATTAATGCTTTTTCTACTTCAGCTTATTTTCCCTCCGCTCATTTTTTTTCTCCAACCGCAGACCAAACAACACTGGCTTACCTTCTGCCTCTGCCGAAGGACGGGATAATGTATGCCGGTTCCTCCATGTCCTGCTACGCCGACGGCTATCCCAGTCCTTCCATCTCACTCTTCTTGAAGCAACCCCTGCGCCAGTATAAGACGGAGCCCATCGTGGATCCGAGTCAGTACCTGATCACGACCTCACCCATGCCGCCCACTGACTTCCTCCTTGATGACTCCGCCATCTCCTCCACTACTCGCATCGGCCTGCGTCCTGACGAGTACTCAATTAGGGGAGCACATCTGACCTTGGCCTATAATGCCACGCCGGGGGTGGAGCTACTGTTGGTCTGCACTGCGGGTAATGCTCTCCCTCAGGCACCAGACTTTCTTGGTGCCAACAAAACCATTGCGACCGCGCGGTTTGTTGTTGCAGGTAAGCTTACCACTTACCGTTTCCAAATTCTGTCGAACCCTGCACCGTTCCGTCCCTGCAACCAGTGTCATCACTGGCAACCCACACCATCGCGGTCAGTAGTACTAGTAATAGCATTACTAGCAGTAGAAGTAGTACTGGTAGTAGTAGTAGTAGTAATAGTATTAGTGGTAGGAGTAGCATAAATAGTAGCAGTAGTAATATCATTATTAGCATGAGTAACATTAGTGCTAGTAGTAGTAACAACAGTAGTATTAATAATGATAGCAATAGTAGTAGTATAATTCCTTCCCGTTTGCCGACGTTTACCGCGCGCATACCAGTAGTTCTTCTGTCGTTTTTGGTGATACCTCGCGCTTGGATTTGATTAACATATTTGCGGACAACTTCCACAGTGTCCATAAACAAGGTTGCACCAAAATGCATGGAGATAACGGAGTTTACGTGTTAGTATTCACGTATGAGGTAAGGGCGGAATTGTCTCCCAACTCAATGCTGTTCGCCGGGTTGTCTCAATCCCTCGAAAATGCGTCTGGATGTAACGCGATATCCCTATCGCCACGAAGATCCGTGTGTACTGTGCATTCATCTGGTCTGTCATTTTCTGTGGTTTTGAGTGTGGATGAGGTAGAAATCCAGATATTTGAACACAAATGCAAGTGAAATACACTGATTTAATCTCAAAAGAAGGTATTCCACGGTGGCTGTGAATATCCCGGGCCATCCACGGAAGACGACTAATATGGTTTGAGTACCTTGTTCGTTGTCCACCTCACGAGCTTAATATTATTGCCCTCGATCAGGCACATTTACCCGCCTGGACGATGTTAACTCAAAACCTGGCTCGACACAGTCCATCAAGTTCTTGGACCTTCGGTATTCGATCTCCGTTTTTTTTTGGCGAAGCGAATGAGTCGAACTATCCGGATCTCCTGCCACGGATCGTCGTGCATGGAGTGTTGCAATCCGTGGCATCTTCGCGACCGGGCAGATCAGGCATGATCGCAGCCGTATCAAGTACAAGTATGACCCAGTCTGGTCTTCGCGGTTTGCGTCTTGTGTCATTGTGTATGCTCTCGTAATGGTGCCAAAGTGGTGATAGCACTCCCCTCGCAGAGGGGAGTGTTTATTAAATGATTTTATACACTGTCAAGTAGAGAATTCTACAAAAAGAGTTTGATAGAACGTGATTTAGCCGACCTTAACGATGCCGCAAATTGCTTCGCTCCTCCCTCCCCCCCCTCCGCTCGTGACGATCTGCTGTAAGAGGTTTGGAGAACTCAATCACTCTTGTTCGTCACCGAGGACCAAGTACCGAAGGTCCAAAAACCGCCTCTATGTCATGACGGACAGCTTCGGATTAGGAGGACAACACCCGCGGGTAGTTCAAAGCTTGGGCTGCGTACAGACTGGTCTGTTTTTGGAACTGCCAATTGTATTTGGTAGCCTTTGACAAACTTATAATTTGACTACAGTGTAACATCGGTTAACGAGTTTAATCCGTTCCAGCACCGAGCTCGTCATGTGAAACGTAGCCAATCAAACTGGCTGCAGACGACCGAGGACCCACGCACTGGGAGCATGACTAAACGGCGGACGCGGGCACACACACACACACACGCATTGACATGTTCTTAAGTGAGCGGAAGCTCGTCAATCGAAAAAAATTTGCTGTGGATGGCTCGCTCGTTACCTGCAATATTCGTAGATGAGATTGCTCGTCACCTCCATCCGTATTTCCTCCATAAGCAAGCTTCATAAGACATCCACAACCTTCAGGAGTACTACCGTCCATCAGTTACCCAAAATTCGTGTGCAAAGGCCGCACATACCTTCTCCCTCTTTTCGCACAATTATTTTAACATACTTTGAGCTCTCTGTTGTTGACACACAGTATTCTGCCTTTAAGGCTAGAGCTCGATACGGTATTGAACCGCCATCAAAAAGAAACCGGAATTGTGCTGTTGCGTTGCAGTTATTTTTGTTTGGACAGTTTCAGTGTATTCAACATCTAAAAATTACTGCTTTTAGATACTTTCCGAATCGGTAAATTACGAGCCTCCGCTTTTGCTGCAACGCCCTAATTTATCTGCCTACATCTATACGCATTCGCGTTTTTTTTTCTGTTCCCTCGCCTAGATATTTATTTTCAACAGCTAGCTGTACCGCCCTTACATTCTGCTCTAATCTGTCTGTCTGGTGCGACTGCAAGCTGGTCGTTTTCTTTTCATCCCACCCCGCCTAAACATTTGGAAACTACCAGCTATGATGTGCTTTATTAATTCAAGCAGGCGGTTTTCTTCCTATTGCCGGCCAGATGTCGGCTGCTAGGTAAATTGCAATTTTGTTTCACTTGACGTGATTCTGCTCTGGTCCTTCGTAAGATTAGGTGGTAGAAGTGGTCGGGGCATATAGTGACAGTTCGGCAAGCGTGGACGCTTTACTCCCCTAAACGGGTCGCGTGGTAGATGCACTGGATTAACTAACATAGGGGCGTGGAAGATGAGCTTATACGAGGGAGAGGGGAGGGGGTATTTGACCTCCGCTGCCTGAAGATCATCCCCTTCAAGTGAAATATGGCGACTTCGTCTCAAATGAGACTCCGTCTGCGAGACAGTATCACGAGGATATCTCAGGCTATTCAGAAAATACGTGCTTAAGGGGGTTAGGGCAGGTTCTCCGTCGTCTGCCTCACGAGCCCTGTTATATGCGGCCCTCGTTCCCCGACGCCGCTGCCCACCTAGAGGCGTAGAAGGGGAGAGCAACTTGATATCTGACTCGACACCGTTCATCGAAGCGGTACTTGGACCTTCGGTTTTCTGTCTCCATCGCTGTAGAAGAGAACGGGTAGATCTTTCCTGAGCCGTTGCCGCAAATCGTTATGCGTAGAGAAGTACACTCAGTGAAATCGCTGAAGAGGCCGGTTACGT